ATCTGGGATCTAACTCAAAGAAGTGATGAAATAGTAAAAATATGTGATCTCAAGCAAGTTGGTAGCAGGCTAGCATCCTTGCTGATTCTAGGCAGCTAATAAAGCACATTCTTGTGACTTCCCTGGTGGTCCAGTGGCTGAGACTCCATGCTTCCAATGCAGGGAGTCCAGGGTTCCATCCCTGGCCAGGGAACTAGATCTTCCCTCAGGCCTCCACTGAAGATCCCATGTGCCACAGCTAAGAACCCAGTGCAGCCAAATAAATAAATACATATTTAAAGCAAAAACTCGTACTCTATATAATCTTTCATAGGTTAAAAATATGAGAGCCTTCATTCTTTGAGGTTAAGACGTTAGGGTTGAGAGAAGAGAATTGCTTTACACATAAAGACTGCTAAGAGCAGGATTCCTTAGATGTGGGCAGGAGGGGTTTTCACCTTCTGTTCCCCCAATGTTCCTAAAGCCCGGCCATCTGGTATCCCCATTCTAGAAGGGGTGGGGAGAAGCCAGGCCTCAGAGAAGAGCTTTCAATATTACTGCCATGATGGGATGTAAAAATTCATTTTAATATGGATTAAAATTTGAAGAAATAGGTCATATTTAAATAAGACATAGAGTTTGGGGAAATATACCAGTGGGCAAAGGTTTCAGCTACCAAGGCAAAGGGCGAAATTTGAATATCTCCTGTACGTTTGGCAAAAAAGGGAAATTGTAGTCAGGATTAGGAAACCACGTACTCTGGAGTATGTAAACAGACTAATGGTCAGATTAAGAAAATCAAGAAACTGAAAGCAATCTCAATCATATGCTGACCGTTTAAGTTTTACTTGAAGTAAAAATTATTTGAAAGCTATTTGACAGTATATGTGCACAAATCTCTCCCAAAAAATTACCCCTCCCCCAAGAAAAGCACATATAAACTCTCTTAACAATGCAAAAACTGACATCTATTTAATACATACACAGCACTTGTTTAAATGCAACATATATTTTATACTGACCTCTGCAATCAGTTTTAATCAAAGCTGTGCAAATATTTTAATGTGATTGGTTCCAACAGTTTAAATTAAATCCCCAGTTTTGATAAAAAACTGAAAAGCCTATAAACTGACAGCCATATTTAGAAAAATGACTCCTAGTACATTTGGTTTCATTAAAAAAAATTCTGGATTGTTGCTAATGTTCAGATCTGAAACAAAGAAAGAGGTAATTATATTTTTCCATTGCAGGACCCTGTACCATGTTCTACACCACAGATCCGACACAGACTGTTAGACCAGGAAGGAACCTTAGCAATAACGGCCTGAGCCTCTCATTATCTGGGTGACCAACATGTGGCTGGAGAGGGGCGAGTGATGTGATTTGGAAGGTCTCCTTAAATGAACAAGCACAGGCTTGTCAGTATTGAACAGAATCCCATTTGTGGCTCTGTCAAGGTTGCTGAAGCTGTATGACTGGTTTCTTGGTTGTTCTAGCTTTAGATACTTGCCGTCTGAATACATCACTAAACAAGCCAAATATAACCCTGATTCAAGTGTATTTGCCCGTAAGCCTTGTGAATGTGGCCTGCTTCCTGGTGACTGGTCCATGCGGCAGGTGCTGGTAGGCTAGAGTTGATGTGAACTCTGAACCTCCTGGGTTCCAGCAGGGTGGCTTGAACTTCTTCAGTATCCAGTTTATCCAAACTGTGGGTCCCCCGCATTAATGGCCCCACAACTTCAGGGAACCAGAGTCCACCTGGGCATAGTGTTTTCCACCCCTAAGGCACCATTTCATGTCCCTAGTCCATGGTTCATGCACATCTGCCTCTAAATCTTATAGTAACAACCAATCTCTATACATCACTGAATTTCTGCGAAGCCAGACGGTTGACGGTAAAAGCATTTTTAGCAGGTTTCTCCCCATCTCACCCTTCTTTAACCTAAGGAAACCATGTATCCTGGAGAGAGAAAGGCATTCTGGCTCTTGTGAGTTCTGTTTTACATACACAGATTGCAGACACTGATGCCACATCTTGCTAGTAAAGTGCACTTTAGGTTAATCTCCTAATTTAAAAAGAGGCACCAAACAGAAACATGAGCTGAAGCTGTGGGTAGCTGACAGCCATTTATAAAAGTGCATGGATCTTATACAGTCTTTCAGAGACCCTGCTTGATTGCAAATGAAGCAGAAAAAAAATATTCTTCTGGAACCCCTTGGACTGGATGAAGATGATTAAAAAAAAAATAGGCTTTGGACACGCATCTTCGGTGCTCTTCTTTGCTCAGAGTACGAGAGATGATGACAACCTTAATAGCCTCCTGTCTGGAGGAGAAAGTGAAATGTCCAAATGAGATCTCACCATCTCCTCTTCCCTTGTTAGATCAGACAGCAAACTGCAATTCGCTACATGTTTTCTGACTTCAGAGTGGGGTGTGGGCTATTCTAATTATGTAATTACATGTTTATCATTGTGCACATTTAGGTAGTTAATTTTAGACATTTACCCTTTAAAAGGGCAAAAGGGTCTTTTCGTGTATTTTTCTTCGATTTTTCTCGACATCCTGTTTCATGTGTGGTTAGATCAGCTGATGAGTCACGTGATGTTTTGCTGCTTCAAAGGACAGAAATAGAGACCCCAGATAATCCCCCTGAGGAGCATCCTGAATGTTCACCAGACACGTTGCTCAAAAACATGCTTTCCTACTGTTCAAGTGCTCTTTATGAAATAGCTGAGTGGGGGCTGTGCTTGGGGGTGCACATCTCAGAAGGGGCAGGCAGGAGCCTACTTTTAGGGATGGGCTACACGTGAACCCAGACATCTCAACACTTACAAATCACCACGAGCTATAAAGCCTTGCTTCTTGCAATTTCGGTTATATTCTTAAAAAAAAAAAAAAAGATTTAGAACTTAGAACATGACAGCCCCTTTCCTGGACCGTGCATTGCTTTGATTGATGAAAACTTCATCCTAAGTTTAGAGATCAGCTCACTTGCAAAGGGGCGTCCCCGATGGCTCAGGAAACATAAGAGACATGGGTTCTATCCCTGGGTCAGGAAAATGCCCTGGAGGAGGACATGGCAATCTATTTCAGTATTCTTGCCTGGAGAATCCCATGGACAGAGGAACCAGGCAGGCTGCAATCCATAGGGTTGCAAAGAGTTGGGTATGACTGAAGCGACTGAGCATGCATGGACCTGCAAAGAAGCCAGAAACCTGGGTAATTGGTACATACCAGTTCATGCTGTCTTAGGCACTGGTCTGCATAGAGAGTTACAGATGGAGAAAAAAATATTTAAATATAAGAAAATATTTTTCAAGGTAATGTCATTTGATACAACAATATAAATACTTCTCAGTCTCTCTCCTACTTCAGTTTGAAGTAAGAAAAAGAATCCGGTCAGAGAACTGTTGAGCATTTAAACAGATGTGTTTCTGGGAATTAAGGGTACAAAAATGTGCATCTCTCCCTACCCCTTCCTTTCAAAAGACCCCCAAATGAGGAGGATGAGTCAGGAGGGTAGGAAGCCGTTAAGTTTTACACTTCTTGCTCTAAAGTGTCATTGAATAACTCTCTGATATTAGGGACATGCAGTAATTATCCTAACCCCAAGAGAGACCAGACAAGGCTGCTGGGAGGACCACAGAGCTGGCCCCTGGCTGGGAGGTGCCCTGGACTACTCTGTAGAGCTGGACCAGAGTGGACCCCCTGGGCCTATCTCCTCATGGGCCTCCTGTGGTTATATATTGGGAGAACTCAGGGAGTGATAAAGTCTACTGTAGCCATGTTTACATGGTCCCACTTGACGTATCTTAAACCAACGCTGAAAATTTCAGAGAGTAATTGGCTGTCTCTGGACATTCCCAGAGCCAAATCACCTGCTAGAGCTAAAAAAAAAAAAAGCAAAACAAAACATACATGCAAAACCGAGAAGATGGACTCTGGAACAAGAGCAGCTGAGGCAGGCATTGAGTGGGCACCCCCTGGCTTTTAAACATGGTGACATAAACCAGCGGCCTTCGTGCCCACATTAGAGTGCCAAGCAGGTGAGGGGCCCCAGCCATCGTGCAAACCAGGTGTGCAGACCTCTCTGGGAGCCCTGAGTTGAGTGGTGGCCGGCAGGTCCCGCCCCGTCCTGACTTTGCTGGAGCAAGCCCGGATGGCTTCCTCCTGGCTCAGATCTTGGTGTTTCATCGATGCCAGGGATGCTGAGGTCCCGCTCGGAGTCCACCGAGATGCGTCGACAATGACCTCAGCTGTGCCCCCCCCACCCCAGAAAGCAGAGGCCACATGACCAGCCACTCTTGACCTGAGCTGGCCCAGAGAAGGCCTTCAAGATGGGGAGACCACTGTGAGTGGTCCATGCTCACTTCTTAGCATCTAAATAAAAGCAGCTGTGTGTCTACGAGGCATGGGTCCCCCACTGAGAAAGCCACTTCTGGTCTTTTCATGATCCTTGACCTGAGACTCTCCAGGCAGGGCGCTCCCTGTCAGCTGAGTCACGTGCATGAGAGAAGAAACCTGTGTGTGGGGGGGAATGTTTCTTTGGGGGAGCCAAGTCAAAGGGATGCCCCACCATCCCCGTGAAATGTGGGAAGGAGACTCATCCCTATTCCTCTCCTGCCTGTCTTGGTTAGAACAGCTGCAGAAGAACCTGCTGACGGTTTGGTTTTGCTTTAGAAGCTAAGGTGTGTGCTTGGGAGCCCAAGCTGTGACGTGAGTGACTTAAGCAGCCCAAGCAAATGGAGGAAAGGGCATGCACCTCAGGAGAAAGATTTGCACAACTGTTGCCCTGTCATTGTGGCCTGGGTCTGGGCGTCCTTCCTGTGTTTTCTGAAATGCTAACAAAACACCACAGTCCATCCTCCCTTATCACCGAAGATGTCTCTGATAATGCCGTGTTCTAGCTGCATAATGAAGACTCTAGCTGGTCTGCCCCGATCTGGAGGGGACGGATTTGCTTCTCCAATGTACTCTTTAGGTTCCAACCCCACAAGCATGAAATACTAGTCACACATGTTAAAAAATACTGCCGTTTAATTTTCTAGTCATGTATTTTAAAAAAGCCGATACAATTAGATTCCCCCCCCCATCTTCTCAGATTTGCCCCCTGCATCCACCCCAAAGTGATGCATCTTAATTCTAAGCGGAAAAACCACTCAGAGGAAGCCCATGAGAATTTGTCCCCCAGTGGTCACTGGGTGTCCAGACGTGTGAACGAACCCTGTGAATGTTCATGGCTGACTCTGAGCCCTTACATTCTTTTTTTCTATGAGGAATGATATGATTACATGGCACTGAAAGCAATAAACACAAAAGGCTTGACTTTTTCTTCTTTGCCCTGCGAGCGTATATTTCTATTCCCACTACAGTCTACATCAGCTGACCCATTTACACCCCTGTTACTCATAATGAAAAATAGTTCTCTTGTCACTGACCGACCCTTACATTTGTATACAAATGACAGAGTGTAAAACCGCTGCAAACAAGACACACTGTTCATCGATACAATACGTTTCCACTGCAGGTATTTTGAGCACACAGGCAATCACCGTATTGTATTAGAGACGTTTTATTGAAAATGCGAAAATAGGAAATGTATTATAGCCTAAAATAAATTACATAACATATACAGTATATATTTATATCTTTAAAATATTTTTGTGTTTAGGTTCTTTCCGTCTAGGAATTTTGACTAAATCAAGAATTTAGTGAACCGTGTCCATAATTTTTTAAAGAAAAAACCCGCTTTCCAAAACTTAGAAAAATATACTGCACTGAATGGATTTCAAATGTGTCATTTCAGGGAATATCACATAGTGACTTTGCTGTTGTTTATAAAATGTCTTGCTGTCTCATGTGACGTGAGAGGCGAGTACAGAAGAACACTTGGAATTACCTGTACCCCAGGGTTAGGACTAACAATGGCAGAACCAGGTCATAAATCTACTTCCAAAGCGACGACATAGCAACCTGGCATTAGAATGCTAGATTATGACTTAAAGCTTCAGTTCACTTTATAAAGACTAAAATGTAAAGTTAGAATGCTCCTTCTCCCTCGCTTTAGTGCCATCTTCAGGAAAGGTGAGTGAAAAACAAGCTTTCGGGGAAACTCATGCCCAGGGACGCGGTGATGGGGGGACAGGCTTTGGGACAACTTTGACAAGGCAGCTCTCGTATGTACACGGCTGGCGTGACAGCGAGCGCACACGCAGGTCCACGAAGCGGCCAGGTGAAGGCTGTCGTTGGCGTGTTGTGGGTGTGCTGCTTCCGGGGCACCTCTAACCTTCCCACCGGGGATTATTTCCGGTCCTCCATCGGTCCAGTGCGTTTGCACATCCATTCCTCAGCGCGGACGGCCACCCCGGGCTGCAGCCGGACTCTGCCCTCAGCCCGGGTGTGGCAGGCGGTTTCAGGACGCCATGGTGGGAGGCCTCTGGGCCACAGCCCTTGGCACAGCCACGTGACCGGGAAGCCAATCAAAGAAAGCCGGGGGGTCACCTGGTGATACTTGAGCGATGCGAGGGGACAGAGGGAGCCTGCGGCCTGCCAGGCGGTGGTGGCCGAGGGGGCGCTGGACGGCACAGCCGCGGTCCTTTGGTTCCAAGTGGAGATTGTCCGAGGACGGGCGGGGGCGGGGGGCGGGTGGCGACTACAAGGCGGCTATGTCTTTGGGGTTTTCATGAAGCGGGGGCATGAAGTCAGTTGTTTTGTTTCCACAAAGCAGTGGTGAGACCGTTCCACAGGTCCCCTCATCAGCATGGGCACACCCGGTATGCCAGAGTGTCCGTGAAACCTTTAGATCAAGGCCTCTTTTGTTACCCAAACAGAAACAAAAAAAAAAAAAAAGTGGAAGAAAACACGTCGGGGAGGAGCAGATGGCGGCGCTGGGGCATCACCCGGGCTGTCCCTGCGGCGCCCGCCCGGGGTCGGGGGTCGGGGGTCGGCCTCATTCCTGCTCCTCCCGCATCTCCACGACGTCCGTGCCCTCCTCCGCCGGAGGTATGTCCGTCATCGCCGAGTCCTCCCCCTCGGCGGCCGACTCGTTCTCCATCTTCTTTTTCTAGACCAGAGAAGACGCATCAGCGGGGGCTGGGGCTGGGGCCGGGAGACACAGCGTGGCAGAGGTCTCGGGGGACCCCTCGCCAGGGACTTGGATTTTGTTTATGGTTGGGGGCGACCTCGTCAAGCCTGCAGTTTTAGATCCGCGGGTGCTCCTTTCAGCAGGCTGCTCAGGACTTGGCTGTGTGCCTGGGTCAGTGTGAGGCACCGGCGGGGGTGGGGGGCTTCCTGTCTCCCATCTCCCCTCCCATCGTCTATGGAGACCTGGCACTGCCCGAGGACGCCACCTCCCGATGCCCTCCCCTCTCCTCCTCCTCATGGCCACGGGCAGCCTCCTACACCAGGGGCGAGCCAGGCCGGGGTGCGGTTCTGTTGCCCTCTCACCTGTTTCCGATAGACGTAGCACGCTGCTATGGCGACCATGGTGGATTCTCCCACAAACCCCGCGAGGAGGGAGCCCACGCCCAGGGTGGCTCCGTGTACCCTGGGAACGAGAACGCAAAGGGCATCTGTCTGTTAGAGCTCCGCGGAGGCACAGAGAACCAAAACTCAGCCAAAACCCAGAAAAGGTGTAGGCGACAGACGGGGTCGGACGATTGCCTTCGAGATCCGCCTGTTAGCGGTGCACCTAATAAATATTCCACCTGGGTGGGAGAGCGCCCTGGGACCCCCTCCGGGCCCTGAGACTCCCATTCCTGCTCCAGGTCTCAGCTCAGCATCTGCTGCGGGAAGGGCACGTCTCCCCGCCCGGCCCCCGTGCGCCTACAGCATCCCACCCCTCCTCCCTGTAGAGTGCAGTTTCCCAATAGACGGGGTCCCCGGAGAGTGGGGATCCCTGAGAACAAGGGCAACACCCTCGCTCACTCCCTTGCCTTTTTCACCTTGCTTCTGCCCGCCACACCACAGTGGATGCTCAGTGCTGACCGTGTGTGGGTGGGCCTGACCCCTGAAAGTGCTTTTCTAGAATGGATCTCAACGGCCTCTAACCTGGTCCCCCTGGCAGAGAAACGAGGCATCACTCAGCATTTCTAACTCGAGACACGCTTGGGGATTTCCCATGAAAAAAAGCTGATTTGATCTTCTGGACAGAGTGCCTCGGTGGCAGCAGGATCCCATGGCTCACCGCCCCCCCCCCCCCCCAGGGTCTCCGCAGACCCTTCCCCTTTGTGTGCAGTCCCTTTCAAGCTCTCAGGATGTCCAGAGAGGACGGTCTGCCTTCCCCCCTCCCCCGCCCCACCTTCACACGTACCCCAGGTAGGGCAGGACCACGAGGCTGGTGATGAGAACAATGATCCGCAGCACGGAGCTGGGCGCCAGGACGAAGGTCTTTTTCAGGGTCATCAGCCACCCGGTCAGATGGGCCCTCACGGTGACTGGAGGGAGAGCCAAGAACTGGTCAGCAATGTCCCCCCCCACCCCCCCGAGCCCAACCGTGGCAGCACATCCTGGGTCCCTGGAGCGGCTGGGTGGGACCCAGGCCCTGCGGCTGCCGCCCTGGGCCCACCTTCCTGCCGGGTTCCTGATCCTCTGGGTTTGGAGGAGCCCCGTCCCCGACCCCCGCTCCGAGCGCAGCATAGTCCTTTAAATGTCGTTTTCCCACTGTGATCACCACCCCTGGGCCGGGGTTGGGGGATGGAGGGGTGGTGCTCCCACCCCCTCATTCCCACCCAGCCTCAAGCTCCCATCACGCCTGTCTCGGAAAACTCAGAGAAGAGCGGCGACTTGACTTCCCGAGCCGGGAAGCTGGAGTGGACACCGGGTTTCCCAGCGCATGTGGGCGGGGCGAAGAAGGGGCGGGGCTAAGAAGGAGGCCCGGCTCACTTCCGGGTTTCTTTCCCAGCCTCCAGAGCGCGGGCTGAGGCCGGCTCCATATGTCCAGGCCTCACAAAGACCTCACAGCAGGTTCCCCGTACCCCACCTCCCCAGCCTGATCTGTGAGTTTCGGGAGCGCAGGCAGGGCACCGGCCCTAGCGCCCAGGAGGGGCTCCACGGAGGGTGTGTCAGTGACAACGGCTGATCTTGGTGGACATTTCAGTTTAGTTGCTCAGTCGTGTCCGACTCTGCGACCCCATGGATTGCAGCACGCCAGGCCACAGTGTCCATCACCAACTACCGGAGTTTACTCAAACTCATGTCCACAGTTTACTCGACTCATGTCCATTGAGTCGGTGATGCCATCCAACCATCTCATCCTCTGTTGTCCCCTTCTCCTGCCTTCTTTCCCAGCATCAAGGTCTTTTCCAATGAGTCGGTTCTTTGCATCAGGGGGCCAAAGTATTGGAATTTCAATTTCAGCATCAGTCCTTTCAATGAATATTCAGGACTGATTTCCTATAGGATGGACTGGTTTGATCTCCTTGCAGTCCGAGGGACTCTCAAGAGTTTTCTCCGACACCACAGGTCAAAAGCATCAATTCTTCAGTGCTCAGCTTTCTTTATGAACCAACTCTCACATCCATACAGGACTACTGGAAAAACCATAGCTTTGACTAGACAGACTTTGGCAGACCTTTAGGTTTGATTTGAAACTGGGTGGGGTTTGAGGAAAGAGGAGGTCTGGTCCTTTATCCCACGCAGGGACAGCAGGAGGCACAGACCTATGGAGGGGGAGGAAGCGCTCATTCCTGGGGTAAACACTCATGTCCAGTTTGGAGGAAGAATTTGCAGTCTGACGCCGTGCTCCTCCAGCCCCCGGTGAAAGAGTTGAATTTTGAGGTACAGGCGTTCACTTGGGTTTGGCTGCACAGGTGGGATGCTAACCTGACAGGCCCAAAGCCAGCAGGTTGCAAAGATAGGTGGAGTCGGCTGTCTTTAAGCCCTTGGTTTGACAGACAAGGATGGGGCATGAAGAGGAGATTCAGAGTCCTACCCCAGTCCTAGCTCCTAGGGACCTCCAGCCCCTCCTCAGTTCCAGACTGGGGAGTCCAGTCAACAGCTCCTGCCTTGATCTCCAGGTGGTGCCAACCCTCGGGTCCCTCAGTGTCCTGCCCCAACCCCAAAGACCAGGCAACACCCCAGGCAGCCGCCAGGAATGCTTGACATCTAGGAGCAGGGGCAGTTCCTGGCCTGACTTGGAAACAGCTCAGGATGGCAGGTGAGCCATCAGCCCCAGTGTCGACTGGCCCCACGGCCCATTTCTGACCACAGCTTTGCCCCTGGATTCTTTTCTCCAGCAGTCCTTTTAGAATCTCAATAGGCGCATAGATTTGTGTCACCAGTCGCCACAGTGAAGACAGGGAATGGTTCTACTGCCCCTGAAACAACTCATGCTGTCCCTTCACATTCTTTCTACTGAGTCTGCAACCACTGTCCTTTAAGAAACAAATCATGCCTGTTCGACTCGCTTCTCAAACTTTCAACCCGCTGGGTAATATCCTTGCATCTTTTCAATCCACCGTGAAACTTAACAGTGCATACATTTATTTTGTTTGGCACAGAACTGGTAATGTTTCTAAAGAAAGAAAACTGAATTGGGTGTGAGAGTGATTAGGAATTTTTCTTTCATTCTGTTTTCCTTTACCTGGAACCGGGAAGAAGGAGAAGATACGCAAGGGAACAACGCAGAGTTCTGCAAAGGCAAAGTCCACGCCGATGATGTCTATCAGAATCTTCTCGGAAACGTTGGGAGTCCAGAACATCACAAAACAGAGCTGCCAGGCGAAAAAGGGCAGGAAGCAAGGTATTATTAGAAAAAGGTGTAAAGGAGTGAAATGTGACAGGTATTACATGGTCCCCGAGGAGCTAGGAAAGTGAACGTGCCCAACTGGGGGGCTGGCACATGGGTCCTCAAGTGCCACTGCCTTGCTCTCTTCTTACCTGACACAGGTAAGACCCTGGCCCATTCATCACACCTGCCCCACAGGGAGCCTGGCAGGGAGACCCAGGTGGGAGGCAGGCATCTGAGCACGTAGTCACACCAATGTGGAAAGTTTACATATAGGCTGCTGGACAACTCAGTTCAGGGTGAACATGTGTATTAACATAATTTTTACAACTTTAACCAAATAATAAAAAGTGATCTGAAAGTATCTGGATGCATGCAGAACTCCACTGAATCAGATCTGGGAGTAGGAGAAGGGGTGGGGCAGGCTGGGAGAAAAGCTACTACTGGGGGCCAGCCCTTAGGGGACTAACTTTTTAAGCTTTAGGTAGGTATAATCGATAGAAAAACTGAATTTAAAAATGTAATGATATAACTTTGGAAGAGAGTGTTAGACAAAGGCCAATTTGTCTAACATTTGGCCAAGTTAAATGCCAATTTCATAAAATACTTCTCTGCTTTTCTTAAGATGCGATTCTTCTCTAAGATGAAAGTGAATACATTATAAAGTGAATTGCAGTCATTCGCTGGTGGCTCAGCAGTGAAGAATCTGCCTGCCAATGCAGGAGATACAAGAGACTCGAGTTAGATCCCTGGGTCAGGAAGATCCCCTGGAGAAGGAAATGGCAACCCACTCCAGTACTCTTGCTGGGGAATCCCCTGGACAGAGGCGCCTTGGCGGGCCATAGTCCATGGGGTTTTGAAGTGTTGGACACGATACAACAACACAAACAGAGCTCTGAAGTTTTAGAATATGGGCTCCCCCATCCATAGAATTTTCCAGGCAAGAATACTGGAGCGGGCTGCCATTTCCTCCTCCAGGGCATCTTCCCGACCCAGGGATCGAACCACGTCTCCTGCATTGGCAGGTGTGTCCCTTTCCACTGGCACCACCTGGGAAGCCCATAATAACGTTCAGGCTTTGGGTAAATTAAGTTTCATGGAATTAGACTGGTCCTATTACCATGGAGAAGGAAATGGCAACCCACTCCAGTATTCTTGCCTGGAGAATCCCATGGATAGAGGAGCCTAGTGGGCTACAGTCCACGGGGTCTCGAAGAGTCGGACATGACTGAGCGACTTCATTTTATTACCATGTCATGTTGAAATTCATCAAAAAGCACCTTGGTGGATCTATTATAAACATGTTTCACTTTTATAAATGCAATGGAACTTTTATTCTATCTTGTATTTTTCAACATCTGGGAAAATATTCCATTTGATTTTCAAGGATGACGGACGTACTATCATTTAATCCTATTGCTTGATGCCAGTACTTCCACTGCATATTTGACAAGAAGGGAAAAATACTTCCTTAGATCTAACAACTCAGAGCTCAGAGGCTTTATTACTGAGTGGCCTGGACAAGTGGCCCTGCCATCTTTTCCCACAGCAAAGCCGGTTACCAGTTAGGCATTCACGCCTACAGCCGAGGTGTGGTGGCAATTGCACAGGACACCTTCATAACCACACCGAGCACAGCGCTGGGCCTCAGTTCCTCTTCTTGGCTGGTAGCTAGATCGTCCCTCCTTCCAAATATTTCCCACGGCTATAAAACATTAAGTGCTAAGTGAATATCACCCAACTCTGGACTTGATCAGGACTTACGGAGGATAAGCTATCCGGGCTTTCCTCACTGGCTGGAGTGAGCTCTCTAGGCTGCATTCTGCTAAAAAAAAAAATTAAGCTTCCAGGAAAGTCATAGGCAGGCTTTACTTAGTTTGTAACCAATGATTATTTGAGTATGAGATAATGCAGTCTCTCTGTGCTTTGCAAAATCACTGTAAAGTGGCTTTTAAATGATAACAAACTGAGGAAATAGAAGGGGGTAACTGCATGTCAGAAGGAAGGTGTGAGCGAGCAGCTGCGACCAAGGTTAATTCCCCCCACAAGCTTCTCGCACTGATAATGTCTACCTGGAGGCTCTCCACTGCCCTGAAGGAGAGGGCCAGTAGCCCCTGGAGGAGGAAGTCCAACCTCAGGCCTCAAGATACTGAGTGCATCCATATGACCGGAGACACTGCCATGAGTACCCTGAGCAGGTGACTCTAGTTCTGGTCCCTTGAAAGCAGTAAGGCTTGACGGATCTCTAATAGAGCTTCAGGAGGGAGGCTTGTTGTTAAGATCTAAGGAAGTATTTGTCTCTTCTTGTCAAATATGCAATGGAAGTACTAGCATCAGGCAATAGGATTGAATGATAGTACGTCCATCAACCTTGAAAATCAAATGGAATATTTCCCCAGGTGTTGAAAAATACAAGATAGAATAAAAGTTCCATTGCATGTATTGATACATCATTTCTAAAATTCACAGTGTGGTTTAACTTGGTACTAGTGAGCCCCTCTCTTCTCCACGCGGTACCTGTCTGTGCCAAGCACACCCTACAAGCCCCTGTCAAGGCCAGGTGCCACCGAGGTGCTTCTTCAGAGTTTTCAGCCCCGTGCACCTCCAGCCTAGGTTGGGTCTTTCTGTTTAGTCGCTCAGTCGTGTCCGACTCTTTATGACACCATGGACTGTAGCCCACCAGGCTCCCCTGTCTGTAGAATTTTCTGGGCCAGATCACTGGAGTGGGTTGCCGTTCTAGAGCAAAGTAACTGAATACTCTCAGTCTGATCTGGGCCTCAGCAATCACAGGTTTAAGGAGAAGAAATACCACATGGATCGATGCTTCCTTTCTTTATCTCCCTCAAGTCTCTCAATTTGACTCTTAGCCTTCGCCAGTCTGATCCTTGCTTCCAGTATGAAAATGCTCCTTGCCTTCCAGCTTGCTTCTTACAAAAAAAAAAAAAAAGACTGGTTCCAGCATTGCCCAGAAAGGAAAACATGCAACTCAAAATTAGGTATAGTGTTGGTTACAAGCTGCGACCCCTATTTGCAGGTCAAAATTTTCCATGAAACGTACTGAGCCCTAGCATTGTAATCAGATGAGATTTAACCAGTCTGTTTCAGAGGACAGGAAACTCTAGAAGGTAACCTAACAAAGACTATTTCAGGAAAAGTGTCTTTCTGATGCATTCACTAGAGTAGTTCCAGCTTAGCTTATGCCCTCTGAGTTGCCCAGAACATGCTGTGTTCTTCAAATATTTGCAAAGCCTAATGACATTGACTTTTCCAAACCAGAACACAAACCTAATATACTGCTGACAGTGAAGACGATTTGTTTCTTGGAGTCGCTGCAGGGTTAGGTTTTCTGCTGCTGAGTTTGCAGTCAACATTATCTCATTAGCAAGCAGCCAGCAAAACAGAACAACCCACTCCATGCCCAGATCTTGGTTTTTCTGTTTATTCTATAATAAAAAGAACCAGGGCTCCTTGGAGAAACAACTTATTCTAGGACTAGGGTGGGAAATGTACAAGATGATCAGCTTGAAACACAGGAACCCAGAAGAGAGAGATCCCAATAGCAAAGCTGGAGGAGTCAGAGCAACTAAAAATGATGGAGTTGTGACCACAGCACACTGATAAACACTCATATACAGATACGACTTTCCTGGGGGCACAGTGGTAAAGAATCCGCCTGCCAGTGCTGGAGATGCAGGTTCAATTCCTGGGTCGGGAAGATCCCCTGGAGAAGGAAATGGCAACCCACTCCAGTATTCTTGCCTGGGAAATCCCATAGACAGAGGAGCCTGGTGGGCTACAGTCCACCGGGTTGCACAGAGTTGGACACGAGTTAGCGACTAAACAACAACGAAGAACTATACTGATATAAGTAAACAAATGGGGAGACTTACCTGGTGGTCCAGTGGTTAAGAATCCAGCAGGGAACATGGGTTTGATCCCTGGTCTGGGAACTAAGATCCCATATGCCTCGGAGCAGCTAAGCACATGAACCACAACGAAAGATCCCACGTGACCCAATAAAGATCCCAAGCGCCACAACTAACACCCAGTGCAGCCAAATGGTAACAAATTAAGTAAACAAATAGGGACAGATCTCCAGCACAGAATTCCAAGTAATGTATGGAGCTATTTCCCTGGTGGCTCAGACGGTAAAGCGTCTGCCTGCAATGTGGGAGACCTGGGTTCAATCCCTGGGTCAGGAAGAGCCCCTGGAGAAGGGAATGGCAACCCACTCCAGTACTCTTGCCTGGAAAATTCCATGGACAGAGGAGCCTGGCAGGCTACAGTCCATGGAGTCACAAAGAGTCGGACATGACTGAGCGACTTCACTTTCACTCTCCTCTCAGGGAGGTGGGGCATATCTCCCCACTTCTTAAGTGTGAGCTGATGACTGTAATTTCCCTCTAGAAAGAGGACAGGGAGAAAACCTGGCAAATATGGTCTTGGCCGTCAAAATTACATCATCAGTGACAAGTCACATTGATAGCATGCTCTCCTGATAAGATGGGATGAGAATGGCCATTTACCTCTGTGGTTTTCCCCTGGAAAACCTATAAGCCCAGTCTAACCATGAGAAAAACCCGGGACAAACCCAAGTTGAGGACCTAACCAGCAGTCCTCGAAACTAACAAGGCCACAAAGACCAGCCAAGTCTGAGGAACTCTCACAGACCAGATAAGGGTAAGGAGACATGGTAACATGGATCCTAGAACAGAGAAAGGACATGAAGAAAAAGCTTGTGAAATCTGAATAAACTGGCATGCATGCATGCTCAGCCTCGTCCGACTCTCTGCCACCCTTTGAACTATAGCCCACCAGGCTCCTCTGTCCAGGGAAGTTTTCCAGGCAAGAATACTGGAATATCCCATTCCTTCTTCAGGGGCTCTTCCTGACCCAGGGGTTGAACCCCTGTCTCATGCATTGACAGGCAGATTCTTTACCACTTAGCCGCCTGGGAAGCCTGAATAAGCTGTGCAGTTTAGTTGA